CTGATCTCTTCACTGGTTCTGGTTTACTGGTTCTGGTTCACTGTCTCCTCACAGAGTGGTAATCGGTCAGTAACAAAGGATCTTCAACATCAGTCTATCAGCTGACCTCCCAGCATGCTGAGCGGTTCAGACTCACCCAGAAGCAATCATCCTCACCACGACCTTATAGAAGACCAGCATCCCCTGAACCTCCTTCAGCACCTCCTGCTTCACTCTGAGACAAAGGGACAGAGACAAAGAGTTAGAGAGACAAAGCGACAGAGAAAAAAAGAGACAGAGACAAAGAGTCAGATAGACAAAGACAGAGAGAGAGACAAAGACAGAGTCAGAGAGACAAAGATAGAGAGACAGAGGGACAACAAGACAGAGAGACAAAGAGTCAGAGAGACAAAGATAGAGGGACAGAGGGACAGAGAGACAAAGAGACAAATACAGAGAGACAAAGATAGAGAGACAGAGGGACAGAGAGACTGAGATGGATTGCTTTGTAACTTTATAAGACCTGCTAACATCCAGTTAGTTTTGAAAACGGTTGTCATCAACCCACCCCTAAACTTTTATAGTTGTGGAAAAATATACGCTAACAATGCCGATCTGTCAAGCCAACTGTCAAATCAAGACATGGTGAAATTTGGATATGGGAAACGCAATGAAAAGGAAAAGAAATGCACGAAACCAGCGGCTCTGCTTCAGCTAAGCCACACTCTGATTATCACAATGTTCCTGCTGTTACCTGGAGATATTCATCCGTGCCCCGGCCCGCTGCACACTACACCAGAGAAGGAAGCCAACTCCAAAGCGGTTGATCCATGGATTACACCTGACGCTGTTTGGAGAGCGCTGCCTTCTCGGAATGGAGGGGCTGGTGCAGCGGCCGATGGGCCATCGCTAGTTTTCCAGACAGGATTCTACGGATGCCCGCAGGCCGGTCAGCAGCATGCCCTGGGGGGACTACCGGCGCTGGAGCCGAGCCTCGAAGCTAACGTGACGGTCGGTAGCACCGCGGGTTTGTCGGAGGCTCTGTGCGGTTCGACATCATCGAGAAATGAGGCGGACACTGCACTGACTGAGCCACAGAGTGTTCCGACCATTGATGGCATCTGTTCAGGTAGTCCACGTGTAATTGGAAAGATTACCCAAAATGTAAACAAGAAACTGCTAAATCCCGCGATCTCAAAGAACAGGAAGTGGGCCGTATTCCGGACTGTCAATCATTCAAGAACAGTGTGGGATCCTAAAGTTAAGCCAAAAGGTCTCTTAGGTGGGCATCTGAACATAAGAAGTATTAAATCTAAAATTGATCAAGTCCATCATCTCTTGCTTGATTCCAATTTAGACTCTTTGTTTATCTGAGACCTGGCTCCACAAAAATGCTAAAAATAGATTTAATATTTAGTAATAGGCCTGAGACAGTTCTAAAATGGGAAGAGGGAAGTCTGGGTCAGCCTGCTTGGCCTGTTGCCACCGCGACCCGACCCCAGATAAGCGGAGGAAAATGGATGGATGGAGTTCTAAAATCTCTCAATATGGTAACTGGTCTCTCCAACCACAATCTGACTCTGGTAGCCAGGAAACTAACCAGCAAGCGTTTTAGGCCTTCCGTCAGGGATGATGAATCTTTTAGAATCCCCAAAAACAATCAAGAAAACTTCGAAAACACTGTTCAACTAATTGACTGGGATGAACTACTGTTGGGAATAGACATTGAGGAAGACAGTCAAAAATTCTCAAAACAATAAGAGAACACCATCAAGGATTTTAATCGCAAATTTAGGCACAAAAATATCAAACGCACTGTTCCTTGGATAAATGATGATATCTTAAAATGGGATTGTGTCTTAAAAACTGCAATTAAAAATAAATCGAGCCATGACGGACAACATTTTGCTATGCTGAGGAACAAAGTGGTAAAGAAATTAAGAAAAGCTAAGGCAGATTTCTTCCCGACTATAATAGAAAAGGCAAGAGGTAATACTAAAATGATCTGGGATCAGTTACACAAGCCAACGGGACATTTCAACAAAGTAAGGAAGCTGCAGCAACTTAACATAAATGGAAAGCTGTCAAATAACCCAGCGGAAGTAGCAACAGTGGAACTCAGCGGAAGTAGCAACAGTGGAACCCAGCGGAAGTAGCTACTATTGCTAAATGTTTCTCCCCTGAGAATACACACGTCTGTACAGTAAATTCATTGGAGCCGACCTTCAGCATAAGAAATGTCACTCAATCAGAGGTCACGAGAATAATCAGGTCTCTTAAACCCTCCAAAGCAAAGGATGTATTTGGTATGGATGCAGTTATGCTCAAAGAACTTAACACAACACTAACAGATCCCATCAGCAAAATCATCAACCTCTCAATCTCTCAGATCATGTTTCCCAGTGTTTGGAAATCGGTTGCTGTTGTTCCAGTATTCAAAGATGGAGATCCCCTTTCTACCTGTAACTACAAACCCATCAGTATCCTGCCAACAACATCAAAAGTTGCAGAGAAGTTGGTAGCTGAGCAAATGATCTGCCATTTGAATACCAGTTATTTTGCCCTTCACCCAATGCAATTCGGCTTCAGAGCAAATTACTCTACTGAGACAGCACCTGTTTCTTCACAGAAAAAAATCAAATTTCTAATGGACAAAGGGGGAGTTGTTGGGGAGTTGTGTTTATTGATCTCAAGAAGGCATTTGACACTGTTAACCATAGCATTCTTTTGTCTAAATTGCACGGCTATCATTTCTCCTCAGGTACACTTAAATGGATTGAATCGTATTTGCTAAATAGATCACAGTATGTCCAAATACAGAACTATCAATCTACCGCCCTCCACTTGTCCACAGGCGTCCCACAAGGATCTGTCCTGGGCCCACTGCTGTTCTCTTTATATATCAATGATCTGCCATCAGCATGCCCTGACACCAACATCCAAATGTATGCAGATGACACTGTGATTTACTTGCATGTTAGCAAAATGGGACAAGTGGCAAATGAACTCACTAACTCCATGGTTCATGTAACTGCATGGTTAAAGCAATGCTGTTTGCAACTAAACGTATCCAAAACAGTATGTATGTTTTTTACCAAAACAAACTCTGGTAGTGTAGAGCCGGATGTTTTTGTATCTGGGGAGAGGCTATGGGTTGTACCTGACTACAAGTATCTCAGAGTACTTTTTGATTCCAAATTGTCATTCAAATCTCAGGTGAAAAAGGTCTGTAACCGGGTCAAATTTAATCTATCAAATTTCAGGTTCACACGAAACTACAAGTCAACAGAGGCAGCTAAGACATACATGCTTTCTATGGTCGTTTCCCATATCACTTACTGTTTCACAACTTGGTCACAGGCTAGCACCACTACTCTGAAACCACTACAGTCATTGTATAAACGTACACTCAAAATCCTTGAAAAAAAATCTGTTCGTTCTCATCATTGCCCTATACTAACAAAATATAACTTGTTTAGTTGGGAGAACATGATTGAATATGTGAATGTCTGTCTCATGTACAAGATGGCTTGACCTCTCCTCCGCTTAAACAATTTGTTATCACAAGAACAACTGGTTATCGGCTCACAAGAGGAGCAGCAAGAGGGGATCACATTATCCCACTCAGGAAAAGTGCTTTCAGTCAGTCTGCATTTTCAGTACAAGTTGCACTACAATGGAACTCCATCCCAGTGACCATTAGAGAACTACACACATACAGGTCATTTAAAGCTCACTTACAGAAATGGTTAGTTAGTACCCAGCTCTGTCAGCACTAGATTGTAACTGTTTCTCTGTCTGTGTTGAACTTCCCTCGATCTGTCTGTTGTCACCTGTCTGTCTTTCTTTAAATTGCCGGTCAACCGTCAACTACCTGCATGCTTGTCTTTTATTATTGTTTCGCAGGGTCTGAGTGATTTATGCATTTCACATACTCTCAATGCTTTTATATTTTGTGCCTCTGACGTGGATGTTTTTTAGTGTCAAAACAACTACAGCATAATACTGTTTTTAGTCCATGTTTCTATTTTAACATAGTCATCCTTTTTATTTGCTTTGTGTGTGTTGACTTTGAGAGCCTCTGTGTTGCATGTCTTGTCTGTACTTGACAATGTATAACAGTTTTATTCTCACTTTCTTCATTGTTTGTGCACGCATTGTTAAGTGTCAATATTGTATAACCTTTTAACTTTAATCTTACATTCTGTTTTTAGGTTTATTTTGTAAACATCTGCCTTCGGGACTACAGATGAAAAATAGCCTTTTGGCTTTAACTCTGGCACATTTGCAGAAATGTTTTTATTAATGTGCACTGTCCCATTCAAATAAACCAATAAATACAAAATAGACAAAGAGACAAAGACAGAGCTTCAGAGAGACAAAGACAAAGAGACATAGACCAACCATAAACCATCTCCTGAAGCCACAACCATCCTCTTCAACTGAGGCTACAGAGGAGCAATGCAACAGCTTCATTGACTTTTTCAGATCCAAAGTCAACAAGATTCGCTCTCTGATGTCCAGCTCTCCATCTATGCTTCCCTCTGACACCAACACCTTATCTGCAAGTGTGCTGTCTCCTCTACATCTTGCTGAGGTTCAGGAGAGCCATGTTGAGGAAATCCTCAGAAAAATGAAACCCTGTACCTATACCCTGACCCCATTCCTACTGCTCTGCTCAAATCACATATCCCCACTCTCAGTCCTTTCATCACCAAAGTTGTTAACCTTTCCCTTCAGTCTGGCTGTGTCCCACCTGCACTCAAGGTTGCTGTCATCCGTCCCCTTCTCAAGAAGCCCACCCTGGACCCGGAGGTTCTAGCCAACTACAGGCCTATCTCCAACCTCGCCTTCCTGTCCAAAGTGTTAGAGAAGGTAGTTGCTTCTCAACTTCAGGACCACCTCAAACAACTTGTTTGAAACATTTCAGTCAGGATTTCGTTCAGCTCACAGCACTGAAACAGCTTTGCTCAGGGTGACGAATGACCTGCTGATGACAGCCGATGCAGGATCACCCTTACTCCTCATCCTCCTGGACCTGACTGCTGCATTTGACAGTGCTACCTTTAGGGTTAGGGTTAGGGCTTTCAGGCAGAACTGAATATGTCTCACTGGGAAGATGCAAGTCCAGACTGCTCCCCGTCTCCTGTGGTGTTCCGCAAGGGTCGGTCCTCGGCCCCATCCTCTTCATTATTTACATGCTCCCCCTCGGTCGTGTCATCAGCAGACATAGGATGTCTTTCCACTGTTATGCCGACGATACACAGCTCTACATCAAAGCTGCCCCAAGCCCCTCTGCAGCCATGTCATGTCTCACCGCCTGTCTTGGAGAGATAAAGGCGTGGATGAGCAACAACTTTCTCCAGTTAAACAGTAGCAAAACCGAAGCCCTCCTTGTTGGCACTCCACACCAGGTTCAGTCATCCTCCATAACTCATCTCACCTTCGACGGTCAGGTCATCCCCCCCCTCTCCTCCACAGTCACTAATCTGGGAGTTAGGTTTGACCAACACCTGACCTTTAATGACCATATAAAACACCTTTGCAAAACCTTGTTTTATCATCTCAAAAATATCTCCAAACTCCGCCCCACTTTAACCCTGTCAGATGCAGAGAAGCTCGTCCACGCCTTTATCTACTCAAGACTGGACTACTGTAACTCACTATTCACTGGGATCACTGCCAAGAACATCCAGAAGCTGCAATACATCCAAAACAGCGCTGCCAGGATCCTGATGAGAGTCTGGAAGTATGAGCACATAACACCCATTCTGCACTCACTACACTGGCTCCCTGTCTCATTCCGGATTGACTACAAAGTCCAACTACTCACACATAAATGCATAAATGGACACGCACTTCCCTACCTCCAAGAACTCATCACTCCCCAAATCTCCACCCACACCCTCAGATCTTCAAATAGCTCGCTCCTCCGGGTCCCCAACACCAAGCTCTGCACCATGGGTGGCCGGGCCTTTGCTCGGCAGCTCCACGCCTATGGAACAGTCTCCCTGACCACCTAAGGGCAACACAGACACTGGTCTCTTTAAGACTGGCCTAAAAACCTTTCTATTCAGGAAGGCCTTTCTGACCTAAATCACTGTCAGTTATTTCTTTTGTGTTTCTGTTCATTCACTGTTTTTGTATTATGTTTACTAGTTATTTTATTATAGTTTGTTTTAACTATGCTTTAACTATGTTTTAACTGTTTTTACTATGTAGGGTTAGGGTTAGGGTTGAGATGTTTTGAATGAAAAGTGCGTTACAAATAAAAGGCATTATTATTATTATTAAAGAGACGGAGACAAAAAGACAAACAGAGAGACAAAGAGAAAGAGACAACGAGACAAAGACAGAGAGACAAAGAGACAGAGAGAGAGACAAAGACAAATAAAAAAAGACAGTCAGAGAGACACAGGGACAAAGAGACAGAGACAGATCAAACAACCTATCTTTAGTTTTTGTCAGATACACATGTTATCGTGTCACCGTCTCTCAGTGTCTCTCACTATCTCTCAGAATGTCTTTCAATGTCTCTCAGAGTGTCTCTCAGTGTCCTACATGCTGGATGAAGCCAGGTTGGTGTCTTCATGTTTGAGTCGTCCGTCCAGAGCGAGTCCTCTGCGGTCCTTGTTGTGAGCCAGCAGAGGATAGAGAGTGTAGTCTTTCTTCAGACTGGTTCCAGAGGGGACCGAGTCTCTGTAACACACAACACACCGTAACACACACACTCAACCCTAACCCTTCAAAATAAAATTCCCTCAGATAAACGGACTCGGACTCACTTGGTCTCTTCTTTGGCGACTGACTTGACGTATTTGTCATTGGAGTAGAGAACGATATTGGTCACTTGTTCCACTAAACACAACAAATGTTTAAATCAGAGGTTAAGAACAGAAGAATGAAGGTGTTTGTTCATGAAATGTAAAGACATTAATGTGGAGTTCACACCAAACACAAGACCGACGTTTCACATACAAAGTCAACGCAAAGAAGACAATTGACCCAAATTTGCACCCGAAGGTGATTGAAATACTAATTATTTTAATTTATTAACTTGATATATAATATCGTTAAAGCCGGTCAGCTCAAGTCTGATCAATCAGAACTCAGCGTTGAGATTCTGCTGATCGTTGGTGTTTATATCAGACTGATCTTCATCCTTGTCGTCTTCTGGTTTGGTGAAAACAACACCAGAGTTCAGTCACCTGACACACTGATGTCTTTGATGTTCCTGCTGGACGAGTTGGTGATTTCTACATTTACTCTGACAGGCTCACCATGGTAGAAAGTCTGCAGACAGAGAGAGAGGCAGACAGAGAGAGAGACAGACAGGTCACACACACACACAGAGAGCGACAGCGAGAGAGACAGAGACAGAGACAGACAGACAGGTCAGAGAGAGGGACAGACAGACAG